GAGGACGTCAATTATCTAAGTGGAGGAGATTATGAAACTCTTAAATATTGAATTGTCTTTCTATGTAACAATTGGAATTTCATTACAAATTACAAAGTTATGTATCCTCGTAGATGAGCATCTATTTATAGGATGTGTAATCTCTTAGAAAGTTATATTAATGGGACAAAACGTGATGTCATTAGATCAAAACGGATTATATTTCGATAATTAAGAATTTGAATTGTTACACATTATGCTATGGAGTCGACTACCAAGTTTCAGATTCTTAGTTTAGGGTTTCTAAAGTAGCTTTCTTTTAAAAAAAAATTAATTAAAAAATTGCATTAGAAAATAATAAGAAAGCCATCCCAAATGAAGCTGAACGATATTTTTATTTCTTTTTTAAACAACTTTCTAATTTTAAAATTGAAAATTTTATACCAAAAAGCTGCTTTAATAAGCAGTAAGAAAGTCGTCCCAAATGAAGCCTAAGGACGGCTTCCTTACTGCTTCTTAAAGCAACTTTTTAGTATAAAAATTTTAAATTTTAAACTAAAAAATTACTTTAAAAACAACAAAAAAATCGTCCCAAACTGAACTTTAATCAATCTGAGAAGATAGCCTACCTGCTTCAGATGGACTTTGTTTCTGTTCGGCTATCAGTTCCATAATAATTACATGTCTCTTTTTATCATAAGCTTTGTTGTAAGTGATTTAATATCAATTAATATTTTTACTGCTTAGGCTAGCTACTAAACTTTTTTCTTAAGACAAAATATAATCATAATTTTTTCAACTTAAAATTTTGATTAAATTTTCATTATAACTTTTGAATAATTGTCAAAATTATATCAGAATTTTATTCTTAATGCCCATTAAATTTTATATGATTTTTGTGTAGTTTCAGTAGAAAAAAATAATATTTTCAACCTAAGCTCTAAAATTTTGAGTGATATTTTATTAAAACTTATAAGCAATCATCAAATTTATATTATAATTTCATCATTAAAGTCCTTACCTCTTTAAATATGCATATTAAAAAAAAAAAAGAAATATTCATTTTATTTTGGATCAAATTACTCATTCTATGTAGAAATAGAAGTTGATACTCTTGCCTAAGACTTGAAGGATGGGTAGATCAAGTGAGCTGATCATATGTTTCTCTTTCCAGCACCTCTCCATTCCCTATGACCTTATAGGTAGTATGATCAGTTTATGCCAAAGTTTCACATGGATGATCTAGGCTTTCCAATCACATCAATTTAAGATTAGTAATATTGTAATATTGTATATGTTATTTAGATTTGAATACATCATTTGCACTCTAACGTTGTTGTTGCGGACTAGAACATTCCTGGCAGTAGAGATATATAGAGTTTAGCGTCTAAATTTGTATGAAGATCCAGCACACAGATAGATAATAGAGAGGGGTGTGAGAGTCATAAAAGACACCAAGATTTTTACGTGAAAAACTCTGAAAATGAGAAAAATCACAGGGTTTGGCCCAGCTGAAATTATTTCACTAGTGTTTGTAATCGATTACAAATGGTGCTCTTTCTTGGGGGAAAGGGCTTGACTCATTATATCATATAGAGCACATTGCATAGTTGGGGTTGAAAGAATCCAATGATAATGAAGTCATTCTCAAGAGAAAGCTGGTTTGTTCATTTGGTTGACAGAACGACGGAGGTCGGAGGGACCGTAGTCGATGGGTGACGGGGTGGGTGGATATATAACTGTAAGAATATGTAGCAGTTAATATGAACAATGACATTTCATATAAGCAATACAAATTATTAAAAACATTATAATTTAAGATATGTGAATAGTTTCCCTATAAAGGATCAATAGGTTATGTCATTCATATACTCATGCCAAGTGCAATGTAGATATATCATGAATTTATACATGCCTACAAATTATTGAATTTTATCTCAATTTATATATGATCACATATGTATCATTATACATACCATATAAAGCAAGTGTTCTGATATATATATATATAGGGCTGCAAACGAACCGAGCCGAGCCGAGTATGTGAGTGTTCATGTTTGTGTTCATTTAATATCAGCTTGTTCAAGTTTGGTTCATGTTTGTTCGAGCTTTATCGTTTGTGTTCATGTTTGGTTCATTTAAATCAAGGAGTGTTCATGTTCGGTTCATGTTCATGTTCAATTCATGTTCGTTCGTTTAGTGTTTATCGAGCTTGTTCGTGAACATATTTAACGAATTTTTTTAAGTATCAAACAAACACGTTCATGAACATATCTATGAACAAACACATTTATAATAAAAGCAATTGTTTATGTAACAAAGGTAATGATTATTTATATTTATTAATTCTATAGTAAATATTAATTATTTTTATCGAGCTTATTCACGAGTTCAAAATCGAACACGAATCGAGCTTTTATCGAGCTTAATGTCGAGCTTGTTCACGAACTTCAAATGATGTTGTTCGCGAACATAAATGAGCAGAACGCATCAGTGTTCATGTTTGTTTATTTAAGAATCGAGTATTTAAAATATTGTTCAAGTTTGTTTGTTTAGTTAATTAAACGATCGCAAACGAGCATTAATCGAACCAAAAGTTCGAACCGAACAACGAGTAGCTCGTCGAACGTTTGGTCCGGTTTGCAAGCCCCATTTCTATATATTATATATTATATATATATATATATATATATATTATATATATATATATATATATATATATATATGGCTCATTGCCATATGTATATGCAAATAAGACGGGAGACTTGATTATTTATGGTGATTTTTCTGTATAGGTCTAGTAAGTCAACCCTATATGAACAATCTTAATCATATAGTCATGTCACAAAAGAATAAATCTCATATCACATGCCACAAGTAAGTGACATTCATGTAAGAATCATTATTACTTCCTGTTCGTATATATAAATTTTTGACCTAGCGTCGCAGTGCTCTAGACTCAACATTGGCCACTCCCTCGAACTCAAAAAACTAGTGAGCTCAGCGCCGTACGCCCAAGCTCTGCGCAGCACTACTCTCTTAGCCAATTTTCAGAATTTAAGGAAATTAAATTTTAGAATGTTACAAGCTATGTATTGTCGTTTAGTTTGCATTATATTGTGTTATTGCTATTAGATTTTATTCTATTGTATTTATTTATAATTTGTATATTATAATTATTCTAGTTACATTACTATGTCAACCTCACAATTTGTTGTATTATAGCTATTAGATTGCCTTAGTTGTATCCATCGTAAGATAAACCATTTTTTAGCCTTTCCACAACCCTATTTGAACCATATATCATTCGAGCCAATTTTGAAACCTTTTTCATTTTCCGATCAAATTAATTTTGAGTACTATTAGAATTATATTTAAATTATGCTCAAACTACGTTTGATTATATTCAAATAATATTAAGGTTTCGTTTGGAATGACTATCTTTCTGCTTCTTAAAGCAAGCTTTTTAGTACAAAAGTTTTAATTTTTGCACCATAAAGCTGCTTTAAGAAACAGCAAGAAAAACCGCCCCAAACGAATCCTAAGTCACTACATGAGACTAAGTTCAAATCAGCTTTGAATATAGATTCGTTCAAATCAATTTTGTTTATGGTGATTTCATATTAAATAATCTATATATAATAAAGAGGATAATTTGATCGCAAAGGAACTTTAAACATATTTGTAAAGAAAATAAAGAAGCATATATATTTTGATTAAAAATAAGAAATTCCTGGCAATTTAATTCAACTATTTTCCATTCAAAAAAATATAACAAAAAATGATTGTTTTATAATTTTTCTCTTTAAAAAAATATCCTATTATACTCTGAAAAACATTTTTTATTATTTAAAAAATCTAGCTTGATGCCCTAATATATTTTGGACAAAAAGACATCCCTTTATTATACAAAAAATTATTTAGCCGCCCCGCCTCCTTTCCTACACTGCATTCGTCAAAACGACTAGTTTGTATTTTCTTATGACTCCGAGCGAAACATCTAAAAATGGTAAAAATAAAATATGGCTAAGGGTAATCTCGTTAAATGTCTTGATACGCAGACCGAACTTCTCCACCAAAATCAAGAATTTTTATTAGGTCCGGTGTCTTGACGTAGCTCTACATCCGGACGTCAATAACATGTCGCCACATGCTCTTACTTTTTATCGCGTGGACCCAGACCCGGTATTTGTTATATAATTGGATAATTTGTTGCAGACCGGTAGGGTATTGCTCGGCAACGAAGAGAGTATATATTGCGTCGGTTTTTGCTAGGTTTGAACTTCGGTAAGGGTTGTCAATTTTTGACACGACCGAAAACATATGACCCGAAACTCACCTGAAAAAATCCGGGCTTCAGGACAACCCACCCAAAATGGATCGGGGTTCGGGTCAACAAATCAACCCGTTTAAAAATCGGGTCGGGTTCAGGTTGACCCAGGCAACTCGAAATTGACCCGAAAAGTGACACGAAAATCATATTTGACCCGAAAACTCGAGAATTGACCTTATTTTGGACCCGTTTTTTACCCTGAAAAACTTTAAATTGTACCGATTTTGACTACGAAAATATAATCTTCATGGTGTTGTCAACAAATCGGTGTCATCGTGTGTCGGTTATGGTTCAGGTGTCCAGGGAAACCTGACCCGTTTTAAAAACGGGTCGGGTTTTGTTACCCAATTAGTCTGTGGTCAGTTTCCGGGTTGACCCGACACCCGAATCACGGACCCGATGTACACCCTATTGCTCGGTATGCTAGGTATTCGATATTGTACAAAAAGTCGGTATATTATCGTTATTTCCAATAATACTACATAAGTTTTCTAATAGTAGTTTTAGGTTTTAAATACGTGAACAATAATAACAATACAAAATATCTAATAATATCATGTGACGCATCTGGAATCGATGTCCAGACGAATTGAGGACCACCGGAAGCAATAATTTGCCCACAATACGAATGACAACCATAACCTTTCCTGATTTGCATTCTATCATCCGGCCCTCAAGAAATCTTTTCTTATAGCCCTACTTCCCCTTCCGCCGCTTTGACTTGAGACGGGAGAGATTAGAGAGGAGGAACGAGATGGAAGTGAAGGAGCTATGGGCGACGCTCGAGCACGCGATCAAGTCTTACACGGGGCTTTCTGCGGCGACCTTCTTCACGTTCGTGGCGGTCGCCGTTGCGTTCTATTACGTGGTGTCCGCCTACTTCGAGCCGGCGCCGGTGGCGAGAAAGCGGGAGGTGGAGGCTGAGCCGGTGGAACCGCTTCCACCGCCGGTTCAGCTCGGCGAGATCACTGAGGAGGAACTTATCGCTTACGACGGTTCCGATCCCAAAAAACCCCTTCTCATGGCGATCAAAGGCCAGATCTACGACGTGACACAGAGCAGGTTTGTATTCTTCAGCCTCTTTTTTTGTTTGAGGTTGAATTCGGTGGACCGATCATGCTTTTGGTCTTTATGTTGGGAATATACGCTTCTTGTTGGCCTTATGAGTTGGATTGAGGATATTTGCTTTATCGGTTCTGGAGCTTTGTGAAAATTACCAATTAATTTTATTAACCATCTTTTCCTTGTGAAATATTTATAGTGTGTTGCTTTTCTTGCCACTTTCGTAGGATTTCCCAAAATTTTCGAATCCAACAGTATTTTTAGCTGAAGGAGGGTATATTCATCTGCGTTCCTTTAGATTTTTGTCATATGTATTTTGTTCTTGTGAATTCTGAAGAAATCCCTCTAATTTCGCTTCTGTCTGATTCATCCTTAGGTTATGAAGTTTTAATTTCGTTAATCTGGTGTATTCTGCATGTTATCTTTAGTCCCAGGAAATGCTTTCCTAGTATCAGTTTCTTGATAACGTGCTGGATATGATTCTGCGTGTAAATGATTGGGTTCACGACTCAACGTAAATTAATGTACCGTGATTCAATTTTCTTTTGAGTTTTCTTATTCACTATAAGTTTATTTGATTTGCTGGATGGAATTCTTGCTGTGCAGGGGGAGCTTGCTATCACCATTTAGCAATGATTGTAGTTCCTAATTCTGCTGGGCATACTAGTTTTCTTTTATTAGCTCTTGCTTTCTGAGGAGTTTTCTTTTTGTCAAATTAGATTTATATGACTCTTAATGCTTAGAGCTATCAAGTGTTAACTCATTCATATCAAACCAATGACGGCGTAAAGGATTGTGCTATTTGTTTAGCGATGAAATGGTTTTTTATGCTGCAGATCATATGATGGTAACTGATTTGGTCTACTTGAGGTTTGTTGATTAAGATTCTCCATGAAACCACCAACCAAATGGTGCCTTGGAGAGAATTTTTTTTTCTGCGTAAAAGAGATTGAAATGGATTGTGGTATTTGTTAAGGGATGAAATAAATTTTTATGTAGTAGATCATGTGAAGGTAACTGATTCAATAATACTTGAGGTTTGTTGATAAAATTCCTTCGATGAAACCACCAAGAATTGGGTCTTGGAGAGAATTTGGCTCTTGTGCAAGGAAGATTGAAAAGGATTGTGATAGTTTCTTGGTGATAAAATGATTTTTTACATAGCTGATTATATGAAGGTATCTGATTTGAAACTACCTGTGGTTCATTAAGAAAGATCCTTTGATGAAACCACCAAGCAAATTTGGGTCTTGTGGAAAATTTTGTTCTTTGTGCAAGAGAGGCCTTCATCTTCTCTTGGGGTCTAGACCTTAATTGATAGGATTCCACTTAAGTATTAGCTGAACAAACCTCTTGAAATTATTTCTCACTTGTACATTATCTTGTCCTTCTTTTCTTTTTGGGTAATTTCTATATGGAATAAGAAGCCGCCAAGAAAGAGATATACATGGGAAGATGGTAGAAGAGTTGGAGAAAGGAGTGGGAAAACTCCTTCATGGATGTTTGCATGCATTCACGAGAGATGGCTTGATACTTGCAGTCAACAGAGAAATCAGAGCATATGGAGGATCAATTGTAAAGGAATTTGTTGTAATCATGCTGACTACAGGAGAAAGAAGTTTTTGGGGCTTCAAATCATCTAGTTTTTATTCATTAAAAAGTGAATTACAAACTCTAAACCATACACAAGATTTATGACTATCCCTCTTTTTATATTTGGAGGGGAATAGTTTTTACAAGTAAGAAGGGATTACAAGTATATGAAAGGACTCCCATTAATATATCTCTATGTAAGGGAGTTGTTCGGACAAGACTTCCGATTCATCATCAAGCAAAGAATCTTCTAATGGCTTGATGTTCTCACTCTCATCATATAATAGATCTCTATGTAAGAGGGAAGGCCCAAATGATATTTATTGTTACTTATATTTTCAATAATGTGGAATGGATCATACCAAATTGGTTTGAATTTTCACCCCTGTTATTTGAGGCACGCCTTGCTGATGTGAAGCCAAACAAGTTTTCCTCCAACTTGATGATGATCATGCCAACTTTTCAACTTTGTATTGATGCATTCAGTTGCTTTCCCAACTCGTCATGAGCCCATCAAATTTCCTCAAGAAATCGTTGTGCGCTTGTTGGGCTAATACATCCTTGAGCAATTATTGACATTAAATCAGCGACAAACTCCAAGTCCAAAAAGCTTTGAAGAAAGGTGGATAAGAATACTTTGAATGAAACAGGGCTTGTAGAGGCATGTATGTCATACTTGGAAATAGTTTGTATATATGAGAGGATTTTGTCCCATGCTTTTGATGGTGGGAGTTGAAGACTCTCAAAAGATGCATCACTATGCAATGCATGACCTTAATTTGGCTGTCCATTTGCGAATTAAAGGTCCAAAATTGACTTCCAAATGTTGCTTAGGAAGTGAGAGTTATGATTGGAGATGGAGATTTTTGGAGCCCAAAGTGAACCCACACATTGCATGATACTAACTATGTCACATCCTTGCGCACAATTGTTTGCTTGCATGCCATGAGGCTGAACATTTTGGAAATAGCATCTACCAACAACTAATACATAATTTGACCCTTACGGGAAATTTGTAGACATCCAAATTGTTAATTTTATAGAGTCAAAATTTCCTCATCAAATCTCTATAAGATAAGACTAGAACTTCTATTTATTGGAATACTGAATCAAGATTCGCAAATATCTTCTTTGTGGGCTATGAACATTTTTGTTGATATTAAGAGATCTTTTAAAATATTGTGGGAACTTGTGATTGATTTCATATTGTTAACCTACCTTGATATCACCATTAATGTAACCTTAGAAGTAGAGGGGCTATTAACCGAGAGATTTTTTTTAGTTGCTTGTTGGGGAGGCCTTCAACTTCTTTAATAAAGGGGAGCTTTTGTTTTTGGTTTTAGTAAGAGAAGAGGCTTTCAACCATAACATGGATAAACTCTCAGTTGTATATTTGCAATAGAGGATTTTAGAGAGTCACAAGTTCTTCTTTCTTCGCAATAGGTGGTTGCTTAGATAAAGTGGTATTTCTGTTATTATCTCTATTGTAAAATCAAATCCTATGTTCTCTTTGGTGTATGCTATCATTGAGGAAAGCCGTGACGCACGGTGAAAGGTTTTTGCACATGTAAACCGGCACATGGGCGCAAGTAGAAAGAAAAATTAGTGAATGTTGCTATAGAAGATGTTCAATATGCACTTATCCTCAATGCTGATAGTTCGATGGAATTGTTATTGGACTCCAACGCATCCTTCCATCCATCTTGCAAAATTGTTTCGCAGATAATTATGATAAAATGTTTATTGTTGATGATGAACCCTTGTATAAAACCTTAGAACTTGAGCGCAAGCGCATTTGTAGTTGTTCTGCACTCTCTGAAAATGCAGAATCTCTTCTATAAAAAAGAAAGAAAGAAAAAATCTTGCATTAATGTTACAGGTGGTTGCTTTTGTTATTGTTGATCTGATAATGTCCAAAGTTTTCTTAAGAAATTATGTAACATGAAATTAATTTTAACTCAATGGCATTGAATGCAGGCATGTACTCCTGCTGACCGTGTCATATGGTTTTATTGGTTATGGAGTTCCCCTTTTGTAAGGGTTTTTACTTTGTTGTCTTGTTTCAGGAAATTTCTAATGTTATGACTTGGATTCTGATGCAAGCAAAAATTAGGAAGATCCTAAAATTTTGCAAGCATACTAAAAAATCTTCCTAGAAAAATAACAAAATACAACCTTCATTGGCTAAAGATGACGCTTACATGTTTAGAACATAAAAACAAACACAAAACATAAAACAACACCTAAAGGAGCTTTCATTCGTCATTTTGAGAAGAAAGATACAAACGGGGTGGTCACTTACGGAAAGAAGAAAGAGGTAAGAAGCCCGAGACGAATTTTAAAGAGGGAAGGGGAAAGAAGTTAGCTCGCAAGCTACAGAAAACCCGCAGGTTTACATTCCAAATATTTTCTCACTCACAAAAACTCTCCTAAAACAGCCACAAAACAACCCTTATATAAGGGAAGAAAAAGTAAAAAAAGACATTTAATACATGTATTTAATGCACCTCAAAATCAGCCAATAGAACCGCAACAAGCAAGAACCGAAGGGGCAGCCGCCTGGGGAAGAAACCAAAGCATCAAAACAGCCCCAAAAGTGGGGGAAAACCGAAGCATTAAATGGCTCATAAAGGGGAAATCGGAAAGGCATCTTTTGGGAATTAAAATCGGCATGGGGAACACCAAAAGGCCTCTTTTGCTTGCATTAGATTCCGAACTGATGGATGAACTGTTGTATTATTTTTACTATAGCAAGGCTTTCCTAGGCCGAGCTTCTGAGCTTAAATGTTTTGCAATCCTAATTACTTACTTTCTCTGATGTTTATGAAGCAGTAGGATGTTAATTCTACAACTTAGCTTGTCATTGCGATTCTTATTACTTTTACCCTAAACCCTAATTGTCTGATGGAATGCTTTTTCACTGCTCTGCTTCTATCATAATTCTCATAGAGACGGGCTTGCACTTTTGATTTAAGATGGTTCTATAAGATATCAGGTTTTGGAATTGGTGATTTTTCTTTTGGTTTGTCAATCGATACTCATCCCCATCGGGTACTTATTTGAATGAATAAAACTCGTTCTTATATTACTAGAATACTTGTTCCAATGATGTTTCTTAACTGAAAGGCTTTTTCAAGTTTTTCCAATGATGTTTCTCAACTGTTATAGGAGTTAATAACTAACATAGATAGAGAAAATAATTTCATGGATACTAAGTGGAAAGGCGAGGAAGAAGAATTCCTCATATACATGGATCTATAACTTGTATCCATAGAAGACACGGATAAATTGCCCTTTCATCCATCAATGTTCAATCCTCAAATGTAACTAATGTCCCCTGCCCCCTATAGTGCTAATTATTTGAAAGTTAATATAATCTTATCAAATCCTACAAAACATTTTAATTCAATCATAATATTATTCTAAGTGGATAATTGATCCTAATAAAATAAATATAATTAAAAAATTAGAAGAAATGTACATAGACATAAATTATATCTATAAATTTCATTTTGAGAAGGCACCATTAAATTGGCCTTTTTTCCATTAATGTTCAATCCTCAATATACAAGACTCAGCCCCTATATTGCTAATTATTTGAACTAAATTGAAAGTAAATCTGATCTTAACAAATCCTACCAAACATTTAAATTTAATCATAATATTATTGTATGAGCATAATTGATTCTAAAATAATACAACAACATCAAGCCTTTATCCCATTACGTATATCCGTTACATGAATCTTTTTTCTCCATTGTGTCCTATTAAAAGTCAAATTCTCGTTTCAATCTAATAGAGAAAGATCATTATTAATATTTTCTAACCATGTCTTTTTAGGTCTGCCTCTACCATTTTTAACATAAGTCAAATCTAATACATCTACTTTCCTAACCGGGTCATCGGAAGGCCGCCCGTTTTATGTGACCAAACCATCCAATACGACTCTCTCTAATCTTATCTTCTACTGGAGCTACTCCGACCTTTTCACCTATATGCTCATTTCCATCATATTTTGCATTGAGAAGTACTATATATGAACTCCAGTTGATCATTCTTACACCCATCCTGTCTGTGTTTCTACATAATGGGTTTTGCAGGATGTTCTATGGACCCGGAGGTCCATACGCTTTATTCGCCGGCAAAGATGCGAGCAGAGCGTTGGCCAAAATGTCCTTCGAGCAGAAGGATCTCACCGGAGACATCTCAGGCTTAGGTCCCTTCGAGCTTGAGGCCTTACAGGACTGGGAATACAAGTTCATGAGTAAATATGTGAAGGTCGGAACAGTCAAGAAAACTGTTCCAGTCACTGATGGTTCTTCTGAGACTGCCAATGCCTCCGAAATAACCGATGAATCAGTTGAAGTTTCACACACCGCCGAATCAAACAACCCGACCGGTTCAGCTAAGCATGATATCGAAGCGGTCGATCGTGATGGTGGGTTCGAAATAATTGCAGAACCGAAGCTCGAAAAGCCGAAAGAAGATGTGGATGAAGCTGAAGCTGTTGCAGAGGCAAAGATAGAGAAGCTTAAAGAGGATGATGGGGACGTTGAGGAGAAGAAGGAATAAGTAAAGTCTGCTTGAGCTGAAGGATATTGGTATGAATTTCTTGATGCAGTGAGATTTGTGTCGTTTGCTGAATATATTTTAATCGGTATGTGTTATAGAAGCTTTTGGACGTTATGAGGTTTCGTTGACTTTTGTTTCAGTAATATGATCATATACATCATAGATACACATTTGATGATGTATTTTTAATAAGCTACTTTCAAGGTAAGTTTTTTATTTTATTTTATTTTATTTTTTGAAATTTTATTTTCCCTTTTCATTTCTTTTCTTTTCTTTCTTTTCTCTCTTTTTTGAGGTTTTTTCGCCAATTTTGGAGCTTGATTAACAAAGGAGTTTCCTTGTAGGCTTATTTTAAACAAAAAAAAAAAAAATAAACACCTTTACTTAAAAATGAATTAAAAAGATAAATGCCAATTATTAAAATTAAAAAAAAGGAGCAATCACATATTTTTCAAATTTAGTTTACTCCATTGTAACTGGTGCAACATTCTCGGATAAAAAACTTAACAGTTTGATGTATTAGTCCGAGCAAATGTGGGTATTTTGGATATTAATTGAGAAGGAGATTTTAATTCGACTTGCTTTTGACCCTGCAGAGTATTCTCATATTTTGAATTTGAGCATTTAGCATATTTATAAGAGTACATAGGAAGAATTTTGGATTTAAAATGAGACGTGAATTTTAAATAAAAGAAGCAATCACACATTTTTCAAATTTAGTTTAATTCATTTTTAACCAGCACAACATTCTCGAGCCACAAAATTAAGAGTTAAATGTACTTGTTGGAGCACAAGGGGGTATTTTGGATTTTATTTTAAAAGGAGATTTTAATTCAACTTGCTTATAATCTCATGTAATATTATCAAATTTTGTATTTGAGCATTTAACATGTTTGTATAGTGCATTTGCATGTCATCAGTATGTTTGCACTTTTCATTTAGGAGACACAGATGTATAAGATTTTCTTTTGGTGATTTGACGAACAACACTAAACTGTCTAACGTGAAAAAATATTCGCATATGATTAACTCACGCGGCATGTACAAGCCATATTTTTAATAACCATCATGTACATCACTTAGGGTGCTCATGCAACTATATCTGCAACAAGTTCGTTATTTAGAGTCATTCACATGAACATAGCTATTGGAAATGTGTAAGGGTCAAATATAACAACTGTTCAAGTGAATGCAATGTATCCTAAATGTTCCCATGGCAGCATTTAAAATTTATTATCGCTCGCATTTTATCCACTTGCCCGTGTGTTGCAGATCGCAATGTCCTCTCTTTTGTCACATTATCTTCTTTTAGTTAAGTGAACTCCATAGGGAATCAAATTGAATATTATAAATAGGAAAACTATTTGGTTTATTTTCACCCTAAATTCAGTTCACTTAGTATGTCCTTGAAGACTTTTTTAGGAGAGTCATAGGAATAAAGAGGAGGTCATGGCTAGTTGTTAAATTCATCACGCGAACTGTGACAAATGAGCCAATCAAATGTTCTTCTTCCAACATCTTCTTTGTCTCTATAATTTACTATATTATAGATGTAGTGTTTGCACTTTGTTGCATCAATCTTATACTATGCTATGTTATAGCCAATGGATTGGATTGTGTGATATCCATCACAAGGTAAACAATATTTGAGTTATATTGATAATTATTCAAATATAGTTCGATATTGGAACCTTCAACCATTATGTTCGAATGATTTTAAATTATATTAGAAATGATTTGTTTTAATTAGATTTAAATTAGAATTTGATTTTTAATAGAACAAAATAGAAAAAAATGTATTCATGTAACAGATCTCACGAATTGAGTTAAAGACTTAATGTGGTTGTTGTTGTTTATGTTAAATTTGTTCAAATACTAATCAATTTCATTCGAGACAAGCTTCAAATAAGTTGTTTGCAATTAAAAATAGGATATTTTAATCCAAAACAAAACAAAAAAAACAAAGATATATTTTCTAAGAAAACAAACAATAACATATTTAACCAATTATGGCTATTGTTAAACATATAAAAATCAAATGTCATGTATATGTCTTAAATTGGGTGGATGTGCATAAGTCAAAAACTTTTAACTGATTATTGACATTATACATGTAAGTAAGGCTTCATTTGAGACAACTTTCTTACTGTTTTATTTTTCAGATCAAGTTTGTCTTCAACGTCCCTAGTTTCAACATGGGCTCTTAATTTTTTGTTGCTTTTGATAAAATTTTATACTATAAAAGTGCTTCCCTTCAACACTTTAAAAAAACTTACTTTAGTCAAGACATTTTTATAACCACATTTATAAAGAAAATGCAACCGTCTCATACAGACCCTCTCTCTCTCTCTCTCTCTCTCTCTCTCTAGAAAATATATATCTTTCTATAACCTTGAAGATAATACCACAATCTTTCCACATCTTATTTTCTCATTATTTAAAAATAAATCATAATGTTTTTTTTTTAAGTTATACTTAATAATCTAATGAAAATTTTACTTTTAGAAAATCCTAATGCAATTTACATCAATAGAAGCTTTAGCACCTCTTGAATTTGCAATCTTTGAATATCATCACAAATATAACTCCCATCCTTACACAAAACATGTCAAAAATCATAATGAATATTTCAAACTCTGAGCCTCAAGCTTGAGCTTTATAAAATCATATTTTTAACATTTATTATAAAATTCTGATATTACTACACAGTATTTTTATAAAATCTATACATAAAATAATTAATAATAAAAATAGTTGAGTAATACCAGGGCTATACCGAAACTTGAACATGCATGCCAAAAAAAAACAAAAAACATATAAGATTTGCTAGAATTATTTAATATTTATACTTATATACAAAAATAAAGTAAATTATTATAATTAAAAATATTACCTTTTTGACAAAATAATCAAACTGGCCTGTCTGCATTTCGAACAATTATTAGGTCTGGACAACGGACATAACTCTACATCCGGAGGCCAATAACATGTCGCCACATCCTTTTACCACGCGGCCCGACAATCCGACTCGGACCGGAACCCGATATTGCTATGTTCGCGTATTGCTTGGTATTGCTAGGTATTGTTAGGTATTGCTTGACAATAACGAAAAATACCGTTCTATCAAGACCAATACCTAACAATACCGAGCAATACCTAGCAATACCTAGTAAAACCGGGGTATTGCTTGGTATTGCTAGTTATTAGTCTTCACATAATGATATTTCTCGTTATTATAGAGAAATATCTAGCAATACCTCCGTCTGCACAAATCAGCCAATACATAATAATCTCGGGCACGGTCTGGGTTGAGTCGTCGGGCCGCGCTGTAAAGAGTAAGGGCACGTGGCATCATTTTACTAGCGTCCGAATGTAGAGCTACGTGAGGACTCCAGACCAAATAAAAATTCATGTATTTCAACGCTGAACGAGTCTATTCCCGTCCACATGTTAGCATTTTAGTATTTTACATAATAAATAATAATTTATAAAAAAAAGTACTTGTCCTACAGTATTAAGTTACTGAGAATAATTACAGTTTCCTGTCAATTCAGAAAACTGTAATACTAAATTGTTCAAACTCTTGAAAGCAACCATTTGTGTATTTACAACAAAACCATAGAGATAGTCAGCAAAGCAAGCACTAAATAAAACTATGCAAATCGAAAATGTTAAAAATGTCAGCTTTTAGTAGGAAAAAGATGTTAACATCGAAGAAAATGAATTTGGTAATAATATAGAAGCCAACAAAAAATTACAAATGAATGCTTTCATATATCAAGATATTCGAATCAAATTTGAGTAAGATAAGACATTTAAGCTTTATTTGAGACAATTTTTTTACAAAGATTCCTAGTCTAAAAAAAATTTTGTACAAAATAATTGCTTTAGAAAACGGTAAGAAAGTCGTTCCAAATGAAGCCTTAGAGCCATTTAGGCATTTAGGCTTCGTTTGAGACGACTTTCTTGATGCTTCTTAAAACAATTTTTTTAGCATAAAAACTTAATTTTTTGTATTAGAAAACTATTTTAAAAAGCATTAAGACAGCCGTCCCTAAATTGGGACTAAGTTTTCGTTTGGGACAACTTTTTTATTGCTTCTTAAAACTGCTTTTTAATTTAAAAATTAAAATTTTTATACTAGAAAACTGCTTCAAGATGCAATAAGAAAGTCCTCCGAAATGAAACCTTATTTCGATTCGTAGATCCAAACTAAATTTTAGTCAAATTAATTTCAAAGTAAATCTAATAGTTTCAAACTCGTTCAGATAAAAAAATTGATTAAAATATTCTAAGATAAATATTATATATATATATAGAGAGAGAGAGAGAGAGGTGGGATATCATGTCACTGCTGAAATGTTCAGTGACCTGATTATAGGAGAAGATTGTTTGTCTAAGGTCAAAGGAGAAATTATTCTTTGCGGAGATCATACGCAGAAGTCGTCCGGAGACCAATCAGAATGCCCCACGTCAGCAATACCAAACTGCGGTACCGAATAAGGGGTGATGTGGCGCATTCTGATTGGTCTCCAGACGACATTCGACGTCCGCACAATATAATTAATAAGGTCAAAGGGTGACCAAACAAGGAAAAAAGTATGATATAATTGTAAGGTAAAATGCATACCTCCTTGGCGACTAACTACCAAGTTTTAACATTACAACACATGATTATATAAACTCAAGCCTTTTCTCCCGGTACTTGGCTTGCTCATTATTCTGCAACAACCACATGTTAATAATATATAACATAAAGCTAATTGCGAAAGCCTAGATCAAGACAACTCTCATCAAACAACTTACCATAATTTCCTAAAGCAAGAGAAGAAATTTCATCCTCTCGCCAAAACCAGTCCTCGTACTTGTACCATCTCATGAGGCCTTCATCTCTGCTTATTCTGTCACAAGCAATACAAGAGCTACTTTGGCAGTGAAAAAACTCACGCAATCTGGCAGTCTTGTCTCGTATATTTCCATCTAACTCTTTAAAAACCTTCTTCTTTCCAGTTGGAGTAAGATTCTCCAGTAACAAGCAGTGAGACATGTTCAGGACCTCAAGATGATCCATGCAGTCCAAGATGAACAAAAGTGCTTCCTTGGTTAATATGGAGCAGCGGACGCTTAAGACTCGGAGATTCGGAAGGTTGGTGGCAATGGCAAAAGCGAAGTTGACATCAAAAGTGCCCATGACCTTCAACTGTGAAAAGTTTTTGCAGCTCCTGCTTATTTCCTCCATTATGTATGATGGATGTGCAATGCTGGGCATTGTTAGAGATTCCAGTTCTTCCCATATTCGAACAGCATGGCATATTCCATTTTTTGTGATGCGATTCCACGCAGGCATAACAAGTCTCCTCAGATGAGGGCAACTGTTTCATGAGCATACAAAGTTGATCACCAATGAGGTATACAGTTGGTCATAATATTAAGAGGTTTGGTTGGGACAGTTGTAACTATTAGTAAAAATTCTGTAGATTTTTTATGAAAAAGTAGGGAAACATCTTTCTTACTACTCACACGGGCAGCGAATTTGATTGTAAATCACATAAACTTATAAAAAGCAATAAAAAAGTATAATCAAATAGAACTGTAACATATGTTTGGACAACAAAATTATAAAAAACTGTCTCAAACAGGAAAGATTATTATGCACAGCCACCAGACGAGAGAACCATCCGGTACCCTCTTGGTACCGAGCGTCGGTATACTTTTGGGGTGACGTGACGCATTTTTGTTGGCCTCTGGATGACGTCCGGACTCCGCACAAAATAAAAATTCCTCAAACAGGCCCTAACATTCCGCTAAAATTTTTCAGTAAATTCGTAACAGTGAACTGCAACCAGGGCTACTGTAATACATTGAATAAGCATCACAACACTGAAGGGTTATATGTATTTCCATCTCCTAGATTAATTCCATAAATTATTTAGTTTTTCTAAGAATTGCATAATTTTTTCCATCCAGAAAAATTTCACGAAGTAGTGACGGTGGCTAATAGAGCACACTTTTCTCTTGAAAAAAAGGTTACAAATTTACAAAACCTTTCCTCAGAACTTAAAAAAGTCATTTGAAACAGGTTTTTAGTAAAACTTTGGACAAGAAATAGGTATTTCAAGAATATCATGTTCAATCGATGAAGTCACAATCATGATTGCCATTGAATGATTCAGATCAAACAACCACCATGGTAATGCATTTTAGCATAAAGCAGCTACTATTATGCAGTTGCAACAATTCATTGAATCTGCTACCAACAAATCTCAGAAAACAATTGAAGCAGGAAAAAAAATCTAAGGAAAATTCATGAAATTTGCACAGGATTGAACATTTAAAGAATGCTGGTTAATTAATCTTACAAGTACCTTTCCGCAACGTAACTGAGATGTTCATCCCGCATGTATAGATTGAAATGGAATATTAAGCACGTCACAGCTCCTCTACTAAGAGACATTGCAATCCTCAAGGCTTTCATCAACTTCCTATCAGATCTGTCATCCACCCAAATGTACGGTGAAGCTCTTGTCTGTATGAAGTTGGATTTCAGCAGACCTAGATCAAGGGTGTTCCAAAGTAGAGGATCCGAACAAGCAGAGCGCCATGCATGGCAGACTTGAGCAACTGGAGCCAGTTCAATCATGTTTAACTCCTTGAATATCTTGACTAGGACATCAGTTTCCATGTCTTCCCATCTCCTCGATGAAGATTTAATTTCGGCCATCCTTGTCAAATAAGGATTCTGAGAGAAAACAAATGGTCATCTCATAAGTTTAATTCATTATGGCAACAAATGTCCCGAGCAAAAAGAGAAGGGCAACAGTAGGTTTGGTTCATTTTAGCGAGGGATGAAACCATAATGAATGATTCACCAAAGGTAAGGATTCCCCCAACACCTTCACCCAACCAAGCCAACTGAAACCATAACCGGAAAAAAAACAAAGCTTGCAACTGGAAATGGCCACAGAAACATTGAAATTCTCAGGCACAAAATCGACAGATCAATTTAGCTCATCTACTTAAACTGTTTCATGATAGGACATCTAGTCATAGCAACATCCACAAATTCAAATAAGAATTAGTGGGGATCTAGTATGAACCAAACAATAATAGCATCAGCAGCTCAGGTGTTTGCCCAGACACAAGCAACGAAGAAACACCTCACATGCGTTGGTGAAAAATAGAGGGATTAAAAAAAAAGAGGGTGTTTGAGAGGGAGAAGGGAATGATAGCAGAAGAGGGAGGGGTAAAGAGAGATATGGAGGGGTGTAAGATGTCTAATCACAGCCAAACTTCACTTTATTAATTTAAATAAAATAAAGGGAGAATTGTTTTAAGGTTCTAGAGCTTACCTTCATTTATTTTTCATCTTGTCTTTTACAAATTGAAAATATTAGCTCTTTTCAGAGTAGAAATTTCTTTTTGAATCTTTGGATCTGTTCACTTTATGGTAGCAAATGGCTACTAAAAAAACCAGATCTTGTTATTACCAGATATCTGTTGAATTCACTTTTAATTTCATTATTGTTTGACGGCATCCGATTATTAAAAAAATATATTCGGTTATTGCTAGACATATAGTAATAACAAGATGTAAGGAAGCAATGAAGAGATATTTTCAGCAAAAAACAGATTCAAAGAAGGCAGTGGGTAGAGGGCCATTGGAATGGGCGGATAGTAGTTGTGCCTCGTAGTATGCATGTGAGGAAAAAGAGTAAGATGCATTTAGTATCAGAAATAGTTATTATATCAAATTTAAAACTTAAATATAATAGGCATAAAAATAATACAAATTAGTCAAAGAACACAAAATTAAATAGTGGTCAGCCACAGGATCAAAGGAAAGAAATTAATCTAAAATAAATGACCAGTTCCGACTCAGATAAATCTCCCCTAAAATAAATGACCTAGCCAACAAGCATACTCACAATTACTGGAAGAGGAAAGGATGCGTGATGCTCAATATGAACAATAAGAATGATTGGTGAAGCATCAAATTAAGGCTTTGTTTGGGACAACTTTTGTACTGCTTCCTAAAATGTCTTTCTAGTATAAAATTTTATAATTTAAAAAAATTTTATGCTAAAAAGTCGTTTTAGAAAGCAACAAAAAAAGCTGCCACAAACGAAGCCTAAGTATGTGAACCATAGTCAAGAAGTTTCCATCATAGCCATCATTAATGTTATCCCAACCATTTGGGGTCATCAGCTGCAACAAAGAATAGCATCCCTAACCCCAATAATAATAATAATAATAATAAATAGCATCCCTAACCCCACCTAAAGAAAGATATCCACATAAACAAATTAGAAGCATTAGCATTCTCTTACATATGCCCTATTTGGATAATTTTGCAGATTTCAAGAGAAACCCTTGGGTTTCATAAGAAGGTTTACAACCATTAGCAACTTAATAAAGGCCGCTAAAACATCTCTGTTTATTTGCTAAAACAAGGCTTACCGAACTAGCTTACCAGCATACTAAAAATCTACACATTAAACAGCCAAAGATCACCATGAAGCATAAAATATAACACTTCAAATTTACGTCTAATGTCAAAGTCCAAACATTCTACAACAATTCCATATATTAAAGGGCAAACATTATAATAATGCATGTAAAAAATAAGAGCTAAATAATCAAGAGATTTACATGGTTAAAAAAGCAAAAATAATCAATATGAAGAAGTTAATACGCACAAGGAAAATGTTAACCATAATGTTCAGGCAACCAAAAGGAACACTATGTTAATACTAATGAAGGTAGATTATGCACTAATAAGCATTACTTAAGTTTCAACAAAATTCATAAAATAAATAAAAATGGAATTAACAAATAACAAATATCAAGAAAGCCTTGGCATAGGAAGAGACAACAAGCATCCACAAAACACCAGGCGTTTCTCGTGCACCAGTTCCGACTCGGATTCCCTCTATGCTCATGCATGTACTAGTTAAACCTCATGCTATCAAGTATACATTTTAATTATCACTCCAGGAAAAAAAGTGGTAAAAAAGCAAATGACATCAAATGAACGGGTAAGATAAAAACGGTAAAAAGCTAACCAAGCTATCCTGCTAACCTGACTAAATGTCATTTTAAATAAATTAATATGTGAAATATAGGGGAGAAATAGAAATGAAAATGTAATCTACAAATATTTTTTGTATGATATGAGAAATGTGATATGAACATGTGAGAAATGTATGGGGAAAAATGAACTCGGTAAACAATATTCTTTGGAAACAAAACTTGGTTAGCAAAGAAAATAAAAGCGTAAAAAGCATTGAAAGGTGAAAAAATCATTTCATCACTCCGGAATTGAGATGTTAAGCAAATAAATTTCCAAAATCAAAGGAAAGAAAAAGCAAAGTTGATTTAATCACTTTGCATTGCTAAGACAATTGAACAAAACAAAATCTTATGAATTGGAACTGAAAATGGAAAATCCAAAATGGGAACAAAATCAACAGGTAAAATAAAAGATAACATAGGACATACTAAAAAACAAAAGCAAAAAGCAAGAAAGTGAGAGAATTAGATGGAAACAATTATAGAATTGTTAGAATGGCCAGTGGATGGGAGATGATGAGGAAGGCCCCATGAATTGCATAAGAAACTAGATGGAAGAGACATTTTCAAAAGAATAAAAGATGATCGAACAGACGTGTAAGCTAATCCAACTATTCTGCTAAAAAGAAGAAATTTTAAAAATATATTCATCGTTTCTATAAATGCTGAGATATAAAGTTCAAGATGGATTATCCCAAGCTTTCAAATATTGCCTTTGCTTAATGAAATTTGTTAAAGGGAACACAACAAGACGGCAGAAACCTTAAGGAAAAATATGAATAAACAACAAACATATCAATAATAAGACGGCAGACGATTTCAAAATTAATCAAATTATATAAGAAATTCAGAAAGATGGGCAAGTTATTAGCATGCATGGATTCATCAAAACGTACATTACTCAGGGCTAGGTAGCACTGCCAATCATTTCTGACGAAATCCTCAACTTAGGAATCCTGGGTTTTCCCACCCAGAGGCTAATCACAAACTAGAACTATCGAATTCAAAGCTCAGTAATGAGCTTCTTCCAAAATTTTAACCAATTCTAACTTTTATCTAAGGTTCCTCGCAAAATTTACATGTTTGATAAACAAAAATTCAAAAAAAATGGGCCTGAGTTTACCTAGCTCAAAACTCGATACGAAGAGACAAAAGATCGGAATGGAACAAGATCCCCACGTTCTTTAATAAAGTCCTTTGCTGTAAATGGAGGAGAATGTGAGAACAAGAAAGGGGAATGGGAAAAATAAGAAAGTGGAAGAGAAGTATTATGCCTCCAAAATAAGATGTTCTTTAACCCACGATACACACCGGAGGTGCCTCCGGCGAAAACAACTTCCGGCGAACACCTCAGTGGCGGCGCAGCCGTCCGATCTGGCCGCCAATCGCTCTCCAGCTTCGTCTCACGCTCCGCTCTGTATCGGAATATCCGGATCCCGAGGTCGAACCGACAGCTCCCCTGTTAACCAACTCCTAACCAAGCGGCGTGTTTCTCTTTGCCTCGCTTGGTTAGTTTGGGCTAACAGAAACGAGAACTTATTAGGTCCGGTCAATCCAGTGAGATCGCGTCACGTACTCTTACTTTTTGCGGTGCGGCCCGAAGATTTGACCCGGACCGGAACCCGGGAATGCTATGTTCGCATATTGCTAGGTATTACTCGGTATTGCTAGATATTGCTTGGCAATAACGAGAAATACTGCTCTGTGAAGGTATTGCAATACCGAGTTTTTCTAGAAAAATTCGGTATTGCTCGGTATTTGTCTTCACATAATGGTATTTCTCGTTATTGCCGAACAAAATCGACAAATACTTAACAATACCGGGTTGTCATGGATTTAAAAAACGCACGTGCGACATACCCACTATTCGTCGGGTCGGGTCCGCAGTTTTGTGCTTGCTACGTGACGCGATCTCAGTGCCGGCCCGAACGTAGCTCTACGTCCGTTCACCGGACCAAATAAAAGTTCAACAGAAACAACTCAGGCCAACAATTATTAAAAATGAAAAATAAAAAATAAAAAAAATTTGCACTCAAATATTCTGATATATGACCTCATTATTATTGAATTTATATTGAAATTAATTATACATTAATAAATATTCCATAGCCATATTGTAAATCCAAATGCAAAGAAACCAATAAAATTCGTCATAATATTTTGATCCAAAATTTTTTCGTAAAAATTAAACGATTTTTATTTATCTAAGCCCTAGATATTTTTAATTGCTTAAATAATATTACAAATTTACAATTGTTGTCTCTTGGGATATTCGCAGCGGTAGAGAAATATAAAGTTTAATGTCTCAGCTTTGTACGAAGATCCAACACAAAATCAGATAAAAGAGATGGTGCGATATTTATAAGAGAAACCAAGATTTTTATATGGAAAACCATAAAAAGGGAAAAAATCATTGGGCCTAGCATAGTTTGAATGCATCCACTAGTATTTGCACTTGATTACAAATGAGGTTCTTCATTGGAGGGATGGCTTTGGTTTGACGTAACAAATATAGATCATATAGAATGACATTACACGGTAGAAATTGGAAGAATCAATATTGATATGTTAGTTTGGTTGACATGATCATAGTCGGCGGACGGCGGAGGTCAAAAGACTATATTTGGGCGACGGCGGTCGGAAGGACTGTAATCAGCGGGCGACGGAGGTCTGAATGATCGTTGTATGACAAGCGATAGAGGTCGGAAAGACCATAATCGATAGGTGACGGAGGTCAAAATGACCATTATCTGACTACGGATGTCAGAAGGGTCATTGTCGAGTGGAAGTCCAAGAATGATGGGAAGCCGGGTGGAAGTTTGGCGTCAGTCGACGGCAGAGTGGAAGTCCGACATCAGTCGGTGGCTGCGCATAAATCCGGCTTGAGTTGGTGGCATGGCAGAAATCCGACGTTAGTCGGTGGCTGGGCAAATCCAACTTTTGTCGGTGCCGGGCGGAAATACAACGTTAGTTCATGGCCGGCCAGAAATCCAACGATAATTTTTGATGATATATCAACAATAAACAATTATTTATTCTAATATATTCTTAATTCTATTGTCGAGCAAAAAAATTATTTTTATTGTATGATTATTATTTTTTGAATATATTGTATGATTTGGATGCTGTCAATAAGATTTTATTTATTGTAATACATTATTCTTTGATATGTAGCACTGCCATTTTTTAAACCAAAGGCCATTATGTTATAATAGTATAATTCATTGTCTAAGCTAAACATCAACTTCTCATAGTCAATCAGATACATTTTGATTTAATGATATCACTCAATCACATGTTCGTATTCATTCACAATGTTTATATTAATAGTAAGCTTATTTTTTTGGCTAAAAATAATCCTTCGGAAATTTTGTCGTCGGATTAATTCCACCAGAAATATTTCCGACAAATTATTATGCACCAGAAGGACTTTTCAGATGTGCTTTTTACCATCGGGAGAAAAATTCTTTGGAAATCCGCTGGAAATATCAATTTCCGACGGATTTTGACCGCCGATAGCACATTATTTTCCTGTAGTGTCACGACGACAAGTGAGGGTGTGAACAAAATTGCAATTTAATATATTTAAATTTTCGTTTCAGTGTGTGGCGCCACGATGCCCAAGGAAGTCAGTGCCATTGCGCTGCATGCTAAATCAAGAATTATTGTACAATAGAACATTAAGTGCCGTAACGAAAATTTTTACGGTGTCATTGTACTCTAAAGCACAATGCTGAATGAGTTTAGTTCAGATGGAAATGCATATTTTCATTTAAAATATATTTTAATAATTATCAGTTTGTTACAACAATTGTCCATGTTGTATTAAAATGAGTCATACCAACTATACATGTCATGCTAAATAAAGCATTATCAAATATGTATATCATTTATTATTCTCTAAATTAGATGTAATAAGCAGTCATTATTTCATTAGTATGTTATCTTACTTGAATTTGGGGAACATGCATCAATTTATAAAATGTTTAGTGAAAATCCAATATGATCATATTAAGAGATGTTGAATGAGCAGGTCCACAACATAAAAGTTACATGATAAAAATTTATGAAAAATCAAAATATCACATCTTTTATCATTTCTAACCAAATTAAATTTTAGAAATCCTATATAAATCAAAATTATCGAAGACAAAGGTAAGGTAACGATAGTCTATCTTGAAATAAGTAATTTGTGTAACTGATTTGATGGACAGAATCAGCCCGTACGTAAACCCTTTGAACTCCTCTTCTCTCTCATTATGCTCTTCTCTTTTTTCCTTTCCTTCTCTTCTTCCTCGCCGCGACAAAATGAGGATAAATGAAATGATTTGTAATTTTTATTAAGTCTTGATAATGGATTTATATATTTGTCTAAAATTCTGAATTAACAAAACTTCACTTTTCCCATTGCGTTTCCCCCCAAGGAAAAATCTCAACTTGCCAATTTTCATTCTAATTTCAATTCACATGTCTCTTATTGACCCTAATAAATATAAACATGATTGTAAACACCTTAGAAAATATCAATAATTCCAAATGATATTTTAAATCTTATCATGTTTAATTTGGATAATCGGGTGATCCAATCACTGTAGAAGTAGTTATTACAGTACACCCACCTATCAAAGGGATGAGTACTCTGATGGGTTGATCTCTTATGATCATGATAATATCTTCTCCCAGCCTCCCTAACTCCTAATGCGAGTTCTTTAGTCCTTGGAAAATTGTCAAAATTGTTCTCTTCTCCTTATTGGCCACAATTGAAGCACCAATCTCTATGTTATACTCGGCATTAATATGATTGATGGCGAGTTCGAGCAACTCATCTTTTGTTTAGAGTTTGTTCGACCATCTCTGATGAGAAAACAGATTATGATTCATGACTATTTGAGAGGACAAAACTATAACAACTTAATAGGGCTTGTCATCATCCCTCATTAATCACCTTTGAACCAAAGAGCATAGATGCTCTTCACTCTACATTTAGAAATCACTGCAACATAAATATTTATAAAACATTTGTAATTATAGCCTTAATCTTGAGTTTTATCTATCCCAAAAGATAAAAATTGCGATTAGGATTTTTAGCTATGGAAAATCTTGAAATTAGGTTTACACATCACTCTCATGTGAGCAAAATCTCTTTGTAATGCATTACGACTATTTAGCCTACTTACTATAAATAATTTGCATTTTATATTCTCACAAGTCTGAGATTCATATTTTTAAAGCTCATGCTTCAATTTGTTGATGCCATTCTTTTTGCTGATATCCTCAATTTTTGCTCTAAGAAGTGTTATCACTTAGGCTTCGTTAGGAATGGCTTTTTACTGTTTCTTGAAACAGCTTTTTAGTACAAAAAATTTTAATTTTATACTAAAAAATTGTTTTAAAAAGCAATTTGAAAGTCATCCCTAACGAGCCTTAATTACTTGGAAATTCCTTTCCAATCTACAAGACAAAAAAAATGCAAAAATTGCTCCCTATCAATAAAAAAAGTTAAAAATCTAAAAGAAAATAAATTTATTTGATATGATATTAGTCACTTGTTGTTATTTGGATAATAAAGACAATGGTAGAGGACTCCTGAAGAATAAGAATGCTCTAGAACTACAGGTGGCTCTTAATGTGAACATCAAAGACTATTTCTCTTAAATAGGCTCTATCTTATTATGGGTGGTTGAAATATTTTGTAGTTGTAGTTTTCAAATTTTTAGTTTTTTTATTGATCCTTTTCATAATATTCTCTTACCTTCTTATGCAAAGAATTATTACTCTTTTTTTTTTTTAAATAAAAAGAGGTTGACATGCATTTTTCCTCCATAAAATGGAATAAAATAAAGTAAATGTGAATATTGGACTAGTATTTATATATTTTTTTTTATTGTGCGTCATACTTAAAATATTTGCTGCTAAAGAGCGGCAATGATCGAACAAAATACAAAATCTCAACCAAATAGAGTAAGAGGTATATATGATGTATAATTATTCATACATAATTTCAATTATATACATGACATAGAATTGTCATGTTGAGTTGACGTACTTGACAGTCCGAGCTATACTTGCTAGTTTGATCGATATTAATAGCTTGACCTAAGGTCATTTCCTGTATGGGTGTCAATTATTGACACGATCTGATAATCCGGTTCGGGTCGACCCATTTGTTCGACCCGTTTAACAAACTGGTTGTGTTCGGGTTTTATTTTTCAACCTGTTAAAGAAATGGTTTAAAGATGGGTTCGGGTCAATCCGGTAACTTGAAATTGACCCAAAATAGACTCGATAAACCTGACTCACCGCTTCACTTTTCTTCAATCTTGAACCTCACGTGACGCGTATGTGCGTTCGCATGCAGTCGCCCTGCTATCCCCGCACTGTTGGTCTGACGGTCTGGTGTCCCGCTGCTCCCGCCTGACTCGCAGAAGCCGAGTGATTGGGTCGCCGACAGACCGGTTGACAGCAGTTCCAGCTGTCACACACTCCTGCTCAAACCGCACAGGCGCAATGGGAAGCAATTGAACTCGAGTACCCTCCCTCGCCCCGTCGAAGCGCTCGAACTAGCGGTAGCCTTGGCACAATACGCCAAACTCGCTTTAGGCACGTTCGAGAACCTCGTATTTCAAGTTTTACGCTGGTTGGGTCAGGTTAACCCGGTAATCCAACGAGTCGGGTCCGGGTTAGAAATCCTGACCTGTTTGCATAACCGGGTCGGCTTATGGTCAACCCGTTTAGATCCGGATCAATTCTGATTGGACTCAAACCTGACCCATTGACCCGTTTTGACGCCCCCTAATTTCATATCGAATCCCTCCATTCAACCGCCTAGATCAATCATTATCATGTCAGTAGCTACTTTGTTTGTGTATTATTTTCCTTATTAGGACCTGCTCGTTATTCTATCAATAGTTCCCATGATGACAACTACTCTCTCGATGTCTTTCTTTAACATTATCTAATCAACAGTAACTAGCCTTTCATTCCCTCTTCGACTTACAGCTTCCACCATGGATGCCACTAGATTGCCTTCTTATTGACACCCTCATCTTATGGCCAACATTTTGTTGTGTGATGTATTTTTTTTATCTATCAAGGTAGAATCGAATAATTATTAGGTCCGGACATCTGACGTAGCTCTACATTTGGACGTCAATAACATGTCGCCATGTCATCTTACTCTTTAATGTGCGGCCTGACAACACGACCCAGACCGGAACCCGGTATTGCTATGTTCGGGTATTGCTAGGTATTGCTCGGTATTGCTAGGTATTATTCGGTATTGCTTGGCAATAACGAGAAATACCACTTTGTCAAGACCAATACCTAGCAATACCGAGCAATACATAGCAATACCGAGCAATACCTAGCAAAACCGGGGTATTGCTAGATATTGCTCGGTATTGCTAGGTCTTGGTCTTGACAGATTGATATTTCTCGTTAATGCCGACCAATACCGAGCAATACACCGGTTTGCACAAATTAGCAATACATAGCAATATCGGGTCCGGGTCGTTGGGCCGCACGGTAAAGAGTAAGAGCACGCAACAACAAGTTATTGGCGTCCGGATGTAGAGCTACGTCAGGTGTCCGGACCTAATAATTATTCAGTAGAATCATCCCCCCTCATTGTATTATGCATGTAAACTATAAAGCCTAATCATAAATTATCCGGAGGTGTTGTTTGCATAACAAGTGGAAAGACTCTACGGCCTTGTGGTTGAAGAAAAATTATTATGTACGGATATCGGAATGTGTTCGGAGACCAACCATAATGCACCACGTCATTTTTTTGCTCAGTATCGGTGCCTGGTACCACTTTGTACCGGATGACATGACATGTTCTGATTGGTCTCCGAACCGTCTGGTGGTCCGCACAGAATAATTTATCGTGGTTGAGAGCTTTGACTCTCACTATGATAGGAGGAGTTCTACCACATTAATTTATGTTTTAGTCTTCACAATGTCTTAAAAAGAGCAACCAGGAGAAAAGGTGATGGGGACAATGATGTGCATTTTTTTGGTTTTGGACTTTTTTGTTCTCAAAGAAACTATGTTCTTCTAGACATAGAAACTTTTGGAATAGCCTTCTAGTATTTATTTATTTTTTAATTATAAATTCGTAAAATCTGAAGTTTGTTTGACATTTCAAACAATTTTTATATATTTTTTAATTATGTTTCTTGCCTAACTTTTAGAGATAATTTGGACATGTAGTTACAATTGTTTTACTATTTTTATAAGTTGTTCCACTAAAGTATGAAAAATTATAAGAAATTCATTATCATTTTTCTTAAAATTATAATATCATAATAAATTTAAAATCTTCATATTTTTCAAGCAACACAGGCCAAGCAAACAACATTCACAAAAAAAAAAGCTTTTCTCACTAGACAAATTAATTTCAAATTTTAATTGGGTTTACTTATAGAACCTAATTATTATACGGGTCCAACCCGAATTTGTTTAAAAGAGGTCTTCAAGAAATAAGAAGCCTATACAGATTGGAGGAAGAAGAGAACAGTTGGCTTATCACAAGGCTCATATCTTATATGTGTTTGCCTACACTTGCGCAAATTCACCTTACTTCTGTGTGTCGTCACTTTGCAAGTCTGGTTGTCTTGATTTCTCAAGACCTAGCCGCCTAATGCCCGAATAAGCCCTCATTAGTAAGTTCGCTAACCATCTCTAACTCCATCCCCAACAAGCCCATCAGCCTAGAGAGAGAGAGAAAAAATTTTATATTAATCCAAACATAAAATAGTATCATAACATCATTTCACAACTAACTAAATATTAAAAAAACATTTTGAATGCATTGATTTTTTTTTATATTAGATTTAAAATTAATTTGAATTCTAAAAAGTTGGAACTAAACAATCCTCATGAAAAACTCATTATGTTTATAAAAATTCGATTTAAAATTAAATTGTGGTAACATATGCACTCATTTGCCCCTAGAATGAAGGCAATTTGGCTTTATATGCCTAATAATATATGCAATTAACCAAATATCTATGATATATTTTTTGTTAGAGAAATATCCTAGGAAGTTTATTTTTGATAAAATTACTCTCAATGAGTGATAATATCTAGAATTCATGGAATATTTATAAAGTTAGAGCCTTCCAAAACTAGTTTAAATTAGTTTGAATCAATTTGAACCTAATTGAAACTCAAGTTCGAACCTAATTCAAACTTGATTTGAACCAGTGCTCGAACCTACCCCTAGCGAGCTCTTGTCAACGCCTTCCAGCCAATATTGGGCATGAAATCCTCTTCTCCTTCACATGATGTTGTCTCATCAATGTCTTTACCAAGCGAGCTTCGTCATGAATGTGATAGCCTATACAAGTCAAAATACGGACATTATTGTGAACTTCTTATCTCTTTTATATCTCAAGTTCAAACCTAATTCAACACCCTCCCTTTCTTCTTTATAACTTTGTTATTTAACTCCTAGTCTTTCACATGGCGCTGGTCTTATCACCCATTTGCTAGCAAGATCTCATCATCATTTTTTCACCTCTTCTTTATTCATCTAGTGGTTTTCATTCCCTAGTGAGATCTTGCCTTGAAATCCCCATCTCTTCTTCGTCCTTCAATGCCCTAACTAACGGGAAATCATAGCAACTTTTGATCTTTTCTTTGTTGGCATGCACGATTTTGTCAATATTTGTACGACTTTAAAGTGTTATATTATGTAAATAGAAGATTAGAAGTTAAATATGTAAATAGAAGATTCTGAACTTTATATATGTAGATTACCAACATCAAATTTACACACGAATTTAACAATTTTGAAATAATTCAAGTCGCAAAGATTTAATTGTTGGAGAAAGCTATTTTTTATGTTCGGACTATTTGGAATAGCTTTCTAGCTGCTTTGCTTTTCAAATAGTAACCAAAATTTCATTTTGATGCAGTTTTTTTTTATTATTTTCTCATCATTTTTAAAAAATTTCTTTGATGAAAAAGTTGTTTTACGCAACCAGTGTACCAGAGTTACTTCCTCACAACCAAGGGTTGAATTGGGAAAAGCTCAGGATAAGCAATTGCCCACCTTAAAATTCTTTTTTTCTTTAAAAAATAAGCATTTTAACAATAATTCCCGCATTCAATAAACTTATTTGCCTAAATTCTAAAAAAAAAAAAAAAAATCTAATTTTCTATTTCATACATAAAGTATTCATATAACAATACTATTTTGCCCACCCTAAAAAAAGAGGATGATTCTGCCCCTATTCACAACCAACTTTATAAATGCTGTAGCAATCCCAGAGAGCCTAGATTCAAGTTGTGTATATTAAAGAAGATTTACATACATATTATAAAATTTTTATGTATTTAACTATCTAATAATTAAAATTTTTATATTTATTTATGTATTAGCTTAGTATCTAAATTACATATAAAAATATATAAAATGATGATGATAATAATAATAATAATAATAATTCTTTAATATTATTTATAATTTTGAATGTTATATAAAAATATATCTAATAATTTAGTGATATCTATTTAAGTTCGACAAGTAGCCACCATCAGAATTTCTTCCCACTACGTTCTCTCCATCGCCCAACAGGAGAAATTTCTCCTCCCCCAGGTCCAACCTTACGTACGGCATCCGGTTCCCCGCGCACGAGCCATCCACGTGCCAATCTTGCCAATCGCCGCTTCCCTCTTCTCGATCTTCTCTTTTTTATGCTCACGAATCAGCACTGATTCTTCTCCCTGGATAAAGTTAAACGTTCTCAATCTTCTCACTTCACCTTTTAATTCGAATTTACTGAGAGTAGATCTCCTCATCGCTTGAGCAACCCTGTAGAAGAGGGAGCTAAATGTGGAGGTTTGGTCGTGGTGCGTGGAATCTCCGGCAGATGCGGAGGTTCTCCGTTGCCGTTCCCGGCCCCTGCATCGTTCACAAGCGTGGGACGGACATACTCCACGATCCGTGGTTTAATAAGGTTTGGTTTGTGTTTAGATTCGGATGAGTTAGGTCATGTGTATTTCATCGGGCGGTCATGTCGGATCTGATATGTTTCTGTTGGAAATTCCTTTTCTTGATGTTGATTTTTCTGTTGGTTTTTTTTTGTAATGCTTGGAAACGGAGTTTTCGATATGTCGGATTTGGGGGTTTTTTGTTTGAGTACGAGGGAAATGCCGTTGGCCGTGTTTAATTATGGTAAAGTGTTTATTGAACTTTGTAACGCTGCCAGCTAGATAGCGCGGGAATTTCGAGTTCAGAAAAATGTTGGTGCTTTAAATTGTGTGATTATGTTTGATAGAGTCTTCACTCAGATCACTTGATTCTATGGTTTATCCGCTTCAGTTAATAGCCCAGAGGGGATTGGGAGAGTGCCATCTTGCAATACGCTTTTTGAGGTAAAATCTATTTTGCAGCTATTTTGTAATCGGGTGATCTGATCACTTAAGAGATTTTTCACTCGTTAAATACTCTATAATGTAACAAGCAACTTTCATTTTATGGGGCACGAGTAAAAAATGCGAAATAGTCAAAATTATTACCAGCAGATTTATTTGATTATCCTCCTTCAACAACATACTTCTTAACCTTTCTTTTTTCTATGAAATATTAATCTTCACAGAACATTATTAGCTTGTAAATCACATTCTAAGTTAATATAAACTCTTTGCATAGCTGGGATAATACTCATAATCAGGATTATAGCTGGAAGTTTTTTATTTCAGTGGTAGTCTGTTTTTCTTGATACATATTAGCAAATACTGCTTAATCATTATGCTTATTTCTATTTTTGATTTTCCTTCGAATAGGATACTGGCTTCCCGTTGACAGAAAGAGATAGACTAGGGCTTCGTGGCCTCCTTCCACCACGTGTTATATCATTTGAGCAACAGTATGAACGCTTCAGTAAGTTTTAGTCTTTGAATAATGTGTCTTGAAGTTCTATCCACCAAGTTCTTTGCTTCTACAATGCTATTGCATTGTTTGGTCAGCTTTAGCTGCTGGAAGCAGCACCATGTCTTGTCTTTTTTTTTTTTTTAGCACAATGTCTTGTCTTGTATACTCAAAAGTATTTATCTTAAACATAGCCTATAGGTAGTGTTGCAAAAGGATTAATACTCATGATTTTTGTTATCCGAGTCTTAATTTGAGAATTAGTATATGCTTTAGCAAATTCATCTGAGCGTATATAGTGCAAATGCAAAGCTTTGTTTCTATTGCAGTTAAGACTTTCACTATATGGTGTGGTTAGGCAGCACAAATGGCAGTTTAAGGGCTATCAAACATTGTCAATTTCATTTGTGTGTTTCTAAGGCTGGCGTGCATGTGCACGCCAGTGTTTAACTCTATTATCTGCCACTTGCCAAAACATGCTGTTAATCTCTGAGCTAATTTACCAAATGAGCCGCACACTAATGTCGTGAGAAATTCATTTTCAAGTCAATTTGTTTTTTGAGAATTAATTTAAGCCACCCATTTTGTGTTGTCAAAGATTGAAAAGAACCTCCTCATTTTTGTACCATGATGATAATTTATGAAGACCAACTTAGCACTTTAGATGCTCATAGTAAGGGTTTTGGTAATGATATTCAAGTTCTCAATTTTTTTTTTTTTTTTTTTTAAATCTCATTAAAGAGTGCCCTTTAAGTTTCAACTTTGTGCCTCTCGAATATATATTTGAGCCGCTCTAATTCTCTTTTTTCCCCCTCTTCTTTTAGTGAATTCATATCAATCTTTGGAGCATAATACAAGAAGCGAACCTCCTAGTGTTGTAGCCTTGGCTAAGTGGAGGATCCTAAATAGATTGCATGACAGAAATGAGACATTGTATTACAGAGTAAGTCCAACTTAATTCAATGATCTTAAAAACAATTATTATTTTTTGCATAGTGCATTATATTTGCTTTAATAAATTCCAATATTTCTGTAATAGATGAATTATTTCCTTTGCAGGTTCTCATTGATAACATCAAAGATTTTGCTCCCATAATATATACTCCAACTGTAGGTTTGGTATGTCAAAACTATGGTGGCCTTTACAGACGTCCACGAGGAATGTATTTTAGTGCCAAGGATAAAGGAGAAATGATGTCCATGATCTACAATTGGCCATCTAAGCAGGTATATTTGAATTTCGACTGCCTTTAAGGTTTAATGGATGTTTTTTTTTTTGCTTAGCTTTGTCTTCTTCCTAAGAATAAATTTTCATTTTCATTTAGGTTCTAGGCTCGATGCTTCAGATGCTTAGAGGAAGCACCATCTGATGCTTGATACATTTGTTTGATTTCAATAAATTAAGCACTTGGGCAATGCCCCTTCTCAGATGCCAAATAAAGCACCCTTCTTTAGCAGTAGTTTTTTGGCGCTTGAACTCTGCATATTTTTATAGAAGTTTTTGACATTTTGCATTGTAAATGTTATGGGCTTGTATTTTTGCTAGTTGTATGTGGCTATTTATTTTTGAACTCTATTTATTTAATTTATGAATAAGATAAAATCATAAAAAAGACATGAACTATTTGATAAAGGCTTGTGAGATGATATATTTGAATTCTGGTGACATATGCGTTTGGACTTTAAACAATTTAGCTATGGCTAATGTCAATATGGACATCATTTTTTTATTGTAATCATCATCTTCACTGCTGAGTTATTGTTGGTGCCGAAATATTTTTTTTCTTTTTGGTTATGGAAGACTATCTCATTATTAGTTATTTTATAGGTTTATCTTAAATGTTTCTCCTGAATGTGTCACCCTACACCTTAAGCCTAGTTTGGGCATTTGTGCCTTTATGGTGCTTTTTGTTGCCTTAATAGTTATAATATTACACTTTCAAATATCGAATGCTTAGATAAAAGCTTGAACCTGAATGGATAATGTAGTAGTATTGTATTCTGAACCTATTCAAGTCTCTTCGCAGCATCTTTCAAAAATTGACAATGTCAGGCGTGCAATGCTTAGCTTCTAAATTTTTTCTTTATGAGGTGTACACTTAATTGTATTCAACAATAATGATATCATATTCTGTTTTATTTGGGTACGAAAGGCATGTGGCTTAGTATGGAGTGGGGAAATTTTATGAAGTTTCAATGTGTCAGGCAATTCTGTCTAGTGTTGCAATCCCATGCATACCTTGGTGCATGCCTATGTTCTTTGAACAGTAAAAAAATGAAATCTGTTTCTCTGAAATCTGCAAAAATGCTTGCTTTTCTTGTTTCAGAGCTTTAAAATGCTGTTGTTTTTGCCAATTTTTTAAACAAAATATCCTGGCATTTTTTCTTTTTTTACAAATTCTCTTTTTAATTATCTTTTCTTCAAAATATTTTGAACGAATTATTACATTAATGCGCTTGGAATCTTCATGTACATTTTCATACCTGATCTGCCTCACGACTTCATTGATTTTTCTTAGGTTGACATGATTGTCATCACCGATGGGAGCCGCATTTTGGGACTTGGTGATCTCGGAGTTCAGGGAATTGGAATACCGATTGGAAAGCTTGACGTGTATGTTGCTGCTGCTGGCATGAATCCCCAAAGGGTATCTTTTCCTCCCACTCTCATATTGTATGTGGATTTGTGTGCTCATTTGTGTGTGGGTGTGCGATTTTTTATAGTATGTTTGTTCATGTTGTCCCTCATTGAACGGATTGATTTTTGAGGATATCAATCTTTGCATCATTTTTCTGCTTTACTACACAGTTACGAACATGACAAACAAGAACTTCGTTTGTATGTTGCATCCAGCTGGGGTTTCATTTATACTTGTAATTTATGCATGTGTTTTTCTACATATACTCTGCTCATATGCCCGCTTTGTTAATATAAAGTGCTACACTGTCATCAGATGTAGTTTAATGCATTTGTTTTTATTTTTATTCTTTTGTGCTTGAATAGCTGGTTGAGTTACATGAGTTGCTACATCTGTTTCTTTGCACAATTCTTTATTATTTTTGCATTTGTGCTTTGGGACAGTTTGGGTTATCACTGAATACAACAACAACAACATCAAGCCTTTGTCCCATTATGTGGGGTCTAAATTTATTATTTGCACTATAATGGATTATCACTCTGTAACATCTTGCAAAAAATAACTCTGAATCAATTAAAGCGGAGTTTGTATCACAATAATTTGTTTAAATATCACTTTTGTCCATGAGTTGTAAATTATGCTTCACATTGGTTTATGTTTTTAGAACCCTTTATTTTGGTCCCGCTCATATTAAGACTTTTCCATGAAGATCATTTTGTTGAGTGAAAAGTAAGGTGATTAAGTGAAAGTATAAAAAATACCGTACCTTTTTCCCTCTCATTTCTCTATTGCTATTCTGACGCTACAATGTTTGTTTTTATTACCTTCAATATGATGACGGTGCTTCGTGTGGCTTTAGTGCAGATCTTGTTAGCTCACGCCTCCAATGAGGTTGTTGGTTTCCAAGATCTTTTAGATTTGTGATAGTGGTCCAATCACATGTCAAAACCTTGTTTATGTCATTGACTTCTCGGGTGATTTCGATGGGCTCAAGAGTGATATTTCCAATGAGTTTCAAGTCCTAAATCACATATCGCTTGTTGATCCAATGACAACAAAGCAGGCCTCGAGGCACCCCATTACCTTCTCATTTCTATGATGTTGACAACTCTGATGAGATCATTTATAATATGACTGGAGATCCAAAATCTCCTTTTGCATGCATCAACTTCCAACATTGTGTCTCCCTAGAAACTTACCTGCTCTGTAAGCAGACCATAAAGATCACTTAAAATTGCCCACTTTAGGTTTCTTTGCCCCTCACCTCCCTTCTTTCCACTTAGACTTATTTGTTCTGCATAAATGTGGGAAGCATCCATGTGGTAGATGAGTTCCTTGGTGATTAAAAGTTGACCAATAACATTGTCATTGTTCTTTTCAAAAAGGCGTTAGATGAAATGCCTAAAGCCTTCGATCCTATGTAGTTCTAACAAAAGAGATGATGACGGGTCAACCTCAAATGGATTCAATGAGCTTGCTTGGATTTTACAAGCTTTATGTCCAGCTTGATTCCGACTGTGATCCCACCTTAAGTGGGCGGGTTTACACAAATTTCTATAAGCTTGTAGAACTTTGCGAAGGAAAAAGGATCTCTAAGAAGACATATATGTTGTCTTAAGGACGAATCTAGAACTTGGGTAAGAGTATTTGGTCCCAAAAAATTATAGCTTTCAGATTTACTGAATTATTCTCACTAGACATTTGCAAAAAGACAGATGTGTACTTATTTCTCTCAATTTTCATAGTGGATTTCTTGGTGTGGTGTGGCTCCGTGGTATTTTTTCTGTTTTGGGTTTTTCTACGTTAAATCTTGGTGTCATTTATTTTTTCCGTTGCTTTAACTTTCTTGCTTGTTTCGTCATTGTGGTGTTGGCTTCTCCTCATCTCATCCTTCATACCCCAACAACTGGTATTAGAGCCAGGTTCTTTTGATCGAGTAGGAGTAATGGCGAGCGAACCAAGATACAAGGTTGAAAAGTTCAATGGTTTGAACTTAGCATTCTGGGGGATGAAAATTGAAGATTTGTTGTATCAGAAGAATGTGTATTTACCATTGGAAGGAATCACCAAGAAGCCAGATTCAATGACTATGGAGGAATGGGAGGTTCTTGATTGGACTCCATCAGGTTTGATACGGCTTTCATTTTCCTCATACGTTTCATTCAACATTGTAAATGATATGAATACATTCAATCTCATGGCCGCACTGACTAAGATGTATGAGAAGCCATCAGCCTCAAACAAAGTGTTCTTGATGAATAAGTTATTCAGTATGAAGATGTTGGACAACACCCCAATGACGGAACACTTAAACAATTTGAAAATTGTTGGCATCAATTTTGATGATGCGGTGAGGGCATTACTGTTGTTATCTTCATCGCCAGAAAGTTGGGATGAACTTATTATGCTGTTACTCTTCAGGAAGTTCAAAGTTGAACTTTGAGAATATTTTGAAGTTATTGCTTAATGAAGAAATTCACAGGAGGGTGAACGGTGAATCTTCAATTTCTGCTCTGAATGTTAAAGCAAGATGAAGAAGTTTAGAGAGAAATCCAAATAGAGTGAGATCTAAACCCAAGAGAGATCTAAACCCAAGAGAGGAAAGTCTACTTCAGGTAAAGGAAAAGTTGTGTGCTGGAGCTATGGAAAGAAGGGTCATTTGAAAAATGACTGTACAGTTCCAAAGAAGGGCAGTGGTGGAGGTCAAGACAAAAATCATTCTGCAAATGTATCTACAAAAGAATGTCAGTCAGATTCTCTTAATTTATCTCTTGATAATTCTGAATCTTGGGTGATAGATTCAGGTGCTTCTTTAATGCAAGTCCTAACAAGGATGCATTTAAGAACTATACTCAAGGTGATTTGGGTGAAGTATTTCTCGGGGACAACAAGCCCTGCAACATTGTTAGATAGGGAGATGTTGATATTAGAATGTCTGATGGGTCAATTTGGAGACTCAAGGATGTTAGGCACATTCCTTGTCTGATGAGAAGTTTAGTTTATGTGAGTCAGCTTGCAAACTCAGGTCATGTGACATCATTCACAAGAGATACGTGGAAGGTGACAAAAGGGGCAATGGTTATAGCTCGTGACAGTATTGAAAACACCATGTATGTTTTCAATAGAAGAGTAGATTGTATTGGAGTAGTAGATTCAGATGTTGATCGAGGTTTTTTGGCATCGAAAGTTTGGTCATATGAGTAAGAAATGTATGCATTCACTTCTTACTAGAGGAAAACTTCATAGTTTGAAATCTATAGATTTAGATTTTTGTACAGAATGTGTATATGACAATCAATATAGGATGAGTTTTTCAAATACTGGTTTAAAGGTTAAGTAAAAAAAGTTGGAGTTAGTGCATATTGATCTATGGGGTTTTGTTCTAGTTATTTATACAGGAGGATCTTTGTATTTTGTCATATTTATTGATGATCATAATAGTAAGGTATGGGTGTATTTCTTAAAACATAAGTCAGATGTGTTTAATGCCTTTAAGAAGTGGAAGGCCATGGTTGAACTTGAGACATGTTTGAAGCTCAAGTGTCTCATATTAGATAATGATGACAAGTATCGTGATAAAAAGTTCAAGGAGTATTGTGCTTTGAATGGGATCTTACATGAGTTCACTATTCCAAGAACACCACAATAATATGGTGTTGCAGATCACATGAATAAAACTATACTGAGCGTGTCAGGAGCATGATATTACATGCTGCCCTACCCAAGTATTTATGGGCAGAGGCAAATACTGCAATTTATCTGATCAATCGTGGTCCTTTAGTTTCTCTGAATGAGGGATTACATGAGGAAGATTGGAGTGGAAAGGAGGTTAGTATATCCTACCTCAAAGTTTTTGGTTTTTCATCCTATGTTCATATTGATGCATGATCTAGGAGTAAGCTTGATCCAAAATCTATCAAGAGTATATTCATTGGATATGGCTCAGATGAATTTGGCTACAAATTTTGGGATTAGAAGTTCATCAGTAGCAGGAATGTCAAATTCAATGAAAGTGAAATGTTTAAGAATAGAAATGAGACTTCTGAAGATTCTTCCAAATATGTTGAGATTGAGGATGATGATAATCAAGAAGATAAAGCTGATAAAACACAGAGGAGTACATCAGACTCCTGTTACTGAAATAAGGAGATCGAGCAGAATTTCAAGGTCAGTACAAATGTATTCTTCTTCATTGTACTATTTATTACTGATAGATAGTGGTCAAACAGAGTGTTATGATGAAGCCATTCAAGTTGATGATTCAAAGAAGTGGGGGCAAGGCATGGATGATGAGATGCGTTTACTTGAGTTGAATCAAACTTAGGAGTTGATAGAGCTACCAGATGGCAAGAAAGTATAACAGAATAAGTGGGTTTACATGCTGAAAGAAGAATCTGATGGTAGCAAACACTATAAGGCCAGCTTGTAGTTGAAGGATTTCAACAGAAGAAAGGAGTGGACTTCACTGAAATTTTCTCTTCAATGGTAAAGATGACTACAATTAGAATTGTACTGAGCATGATAGCAGTTCAGGATTTACATCCAGAGCAGATTGATGTAAAGACAACATTTCTTCTTGATGACCTTGATGAAGAGTTGTACATGGAGAAACCTTTGGGATATATGGTCATAGGTAATGAAGAGCTGGTGTGTAGGCTCATGAGAAACTTATACGGTTTGAAGCAAGCACCAAGATAGTGGTACAATAGATTTGATAGGTTTATGTTAGATAATGGATACATGAAGTGCCAGGCAGACTACTGTTGTTTTTTCAAACATTTTGATAATTGTTATATTATTTTGCTTGTATATGTGGATGACATACTGGTTGCAGTGTCTGATATAGAGAAGGTAAAATATTTGAAGAAACAATTATAAGAGGAGTTTGAAAAGAAAGAGCCGGGCCCAACAAAAAAAAATCTTGGTATGAGAATTAGTAGAGATAGAAGTGCATGCATACTTAAGTTGTCTCAGGCAGAGTATGTTGAAAAGGTGCTTCAGAAATTCAA